GTATTTATAGGCTTTTGGATAAATATCCGTTAGACTAAGCTTTTGGTCTTGATTCTTGTGCTTTCTCTTTTTCATGTACAACAGCCGTCGGGTAAAGTTGACCTTTTAGAGCATGTATGTTTTTTCAATCCTTTGCTTGAAGTAGGTTGTACGTTCTTTTAGACATGACTTCAAGTGAAGAACATTATGTGGATATATCTTTTGTCTATAACGTCCATTTTTTATATTTTGATTCAAAGTTTTGTGGGTGCGTGTAGAATAGCTCATATGCAAAAAATGGAGTATATTGTGCATGCGACATATATGTCTTTTCTTATTACTTTTGTTGTTTTTGAACATTGAACATTTAATGTCATTTAACTCTTGCTCAGAACAACAAAGTGTCTTTTGATTTCCTACCATTGAGGTAGTGTTTGACAATTAAGCTTTTCTTCCAAAGATACCAAACGTTGATTAAGGAATTCATCATCTGGCGAAGTAACATTTTAGCTCATGCTATCGTTTAGGCAGAGTAAACATTTTTGTTATTTTGATTTTATAGACAAACAACATTTAACTTTGTTTGGGTTTTAAGTTTTAGTCTTTTAGTGTGTTTTGTCAATGACATCGTCTTGGCATTGTTTTGTTTTCCCAAGAGCTAAACTGAATATCATTTAGGTATGATGAGATTTACACTTTTAGCTTCAACTCTCCTAGACGCTTTTGACTTGATAGTCATTTAGCATCGCATCTAGGCATCTGGCTTAGCCGTTTTTCTATTTCCTAAAATCCTAAGTGTTTTTCCAAGTTTTTTCGTATTAGGGATTTTGGTTCTAAGTCTTTGTATTTTCAGCCTATGTTATTTTCAGATTATTATTTTATTTAATGTTATTTGGTTAAACTTCAAAACATGATAATGTTTAGGTGCATAGACGATTTTGTCTTAACAAGGTTGGGACATAATCTCCAAGATGAATTGGTTGTCTTACGATCTCATTATGGTGGATTGTGGTACCAAATAAGTGTTTTTCCATGTTTTAAAAAGGATAAGTCATTGGTTGTCTAACGAGTGTGCGAAAGTAGATGCAAGGACTACCACCTAGGAGCGGTAAGATTCATTATTGCATTGGTTTCTAAAGCATAACCAATGTTTATAGTTCCTTATTAGTTGGTCCTTTTGAGAGCATGAGGTAGAAGAAGTAGGTGTAGGAGTTGTTAGAAAAGTAATGGTGTAGCCTTTGTATGTCATTGTGGTAATCTACAAAGTTTGTAGATCTCGAAGGAGAAGTAAGTGTATGTTGATCTATTTAAGTTTAAATTTTGGCTAAGGGAGACATAATTATTCTATATGTGGTTCTAATGAATGGAAACAATGTTGAGAAAAAGGAGTTCCAAGAGGTGTGCAAGTTCTATAAAATTTTTGAAGGAGATTTCTCAAGGGTAGTCGTTTCCTTGTCACAACTTATATAAAAGGATAATCCTTTTAAAGTAGACAAAAAAGTGTGACGAGAGTTTTTCAGGATGTTGAAGAAGAGTTTGATTGGCACTTTAGTGTTGATAATTTTTGGCACATTAAAGTCTTTAAGGTCCACTGTGACTCAACACACCAGAAGTAGAAATGTATGTGGATCAGAGTGGAATGATGACAAATTATGTTTCTCGATAGTGGGAGGTACATGAGAAGTGCTAGCTTACTCATGACCTAATGGTTAATGCGGATGAAGTTCTTTAAATGATGGAGATGTCGTCTTTATGAGGATTATTTAAAGGTGTTTAGTGATCATCAAGAGCTAGCAGTGTAGAGTTGCATGTGGATAGTTGGACACAAGATGAACCAAGCAATGATGTTGAATTATGGTGTTAACCTTGAAAGGAGAAAGTAATAGTAAATGCTTAAACAAAAGAGGGATTCAAGTTGCTGTTTTGATGAGGAAGGTGTTAGAGTTGGTTGAAAAGTTCAAGGATCAGAGCTTGAGGCAAAGTTATGAGCGACACTCAAGCAGTTAACATACTATAACTAGTGAGTGTCTCAAAATGTTTAGTAAAGGGTAAATTTGACAATCCTAGGTTGTGAGGCACTTTATAGCTACAAAGTATTGATCACACTAGTGATTTTAAGTTGAACCAAGACGTTGTTAAAGGATGGGTACGAATTAACGGTTTGGAGTGTCATAATATGTGTTTGTTGTTACAATAGTTGAATGTTCCAGTTTGGAAGTGGATAACATTGTTGTGGACTTTGTTACTCATTGGCCAAAATTAGTAAAAGAGGCATGATGTTAAGGGGGTGGTCGTGAATAGGGTGACCAGGAGTGTTCACCTCTTGTCAGTATGTTAGGAGTCCTGTGTGATAAAGTTAGTTGTGTGATAAAGTTAGTTGTGTGATATTTCAAGGAGGAAATAAGGTGGTGTGAAGTGATAAGTAACATGTTTTCTTTTTAGATTGAGACCAATGTTATCTTTAAATTTTGGTAAAAACCTACAAAAGGTGTTGGAGAGCGTATGGAAGGCGAGTTTAGTATATTAGATACAAATTGTTTGTTAGGCGTAAAAGATCATTCAAGCTTTAGAATTGAGGTTGAGAATTACGTTTAGGAAGTGATGGCTAAACCAATCTATACTGTTTAACACTATATCATTTAGCATAGAGGCAAGGTTTTCAATTAGTTAAGATGTAGGGGACAATAGCTCAGTCAAAGATAACTCAATCAAGTATATGTGGTTGTTATAAGAGAAAATAAGGAGAACATAACTTTCTTTCTACTTGATGAGTGAATTTTCGAGGACGAAAATTTTTCTTGTTGGAAAGAATGTAAAAACCTAGAAAGTGACATTTTGAAAGTGATAAAGGTTTAAAATAGTGAGACTCAAATTGTTTTAATATTTAAATGTTCTAATATAAATAGTTTTATTATGAACGAGTTTCAATATTTTTTAGATACACAATCTATCTAAAAATCACTTTTTTAGAGTTCTCTAACTTTTCTATAAGATTTCTTTCTCTCCGTTCATCTAATTGAAGAATCAAGATCGTAGGATTGATCCTTTCAATGATCTCTTCAATTTGGACCGATTAGTTTCTTTGTTCGCGTAAGTTGAGTTTCAACTATTTTTCTTGGTCTTTTCTTTAATGTGTTGCATGTGAGCCTTCTTCTACTTGTATGCGTTTTTCAGTCATCTATATGAGTCGTTGTTGATTAGTGATTATAATGGTATGTTCTGATCATTTTTGTAAGGGAAACTAGTTTTTTTTTTGAGCTTGATAAATTTGATGATCTGCATGTTGTTGCTCTAACGCAATTGGGGATGAAATTTGATTGTTTATGATGAATTTAGTACGTCTCAATTGATTATGAGGTTGTAGTGTTGTGGTTTATTTTGTGTTGAAACCTGTTTTTATGAAAATACAAAGAAGGAAATACCAAATTGATCAATTGAACATGTCTCATTTCCCCTAAATCAATAATTTCATCTATTGATGTCTGGTAATACTTTGAACAGTGACAAATTGGCGCTGAGCGCCAATTTCGTTGTGCAAGTCTGGGAACATTTTAGATTTAGACCATTGAGCGCAACTATTTGTGAGAAGAATGACGCTTAATGCTAAAAGTGTCGTTGAGCATCACTTTTTGTGAAAGGTTTGGCTTTGAGCGCCAATTTGTCTGTTGGTTATGCTTTTCTTCTTTGGTTGTTTGAAATAAATATGTGATCGAACTGGTGTATGTTTATACTATGTTTTATTATTAATTGAGGTGATGATTATGGTTGTAGACATGCATGGTGATGATGTTTAGAGAATTTCCAGGAGAAATTGTTTGTGGTGATATTCTTAGTGTATGTATTGACATTTAGAAATAAATAAAGAGGTATTCTGAACTCTAATAACTATTCATACTCAAATAAAGGAGAATGAGTTATGTAGTGAGCGTCGTAAGTGTCTTAGTCATTAGACAATTAGGTCCTAGGTGCAAATGGAACTAACCTTGTAAGTAGCAGAGTGATGACCCCTTTATTTATTGGCTCTACACTGCTTAAATACTACTACAAATCATGCCTACACTAAAGCCTAATGTCAAAGACATATATCCATATAATTGAGTCGGACGTCAAATGTTTGAGTGTATATATATGATTTATTGTATTTTATCAATGTTTAACTTATATTTGATACGATTTATTTGTTTTAGAATAAATCTTTTGCACACTAGCTTACCTAGTCATCTCTTTTATGTTTTCTTGTATTTGTTTGTCTTTTTTACAATAAACACATGAAGGATAGATGTTGATGTGCTTATGGTGGAAGCAAAGATGACCCAGAGTAATTTTCTAATGTTGTACTAATTGTTATGCATATAAGTTTTCTAAAACTTGAAGTGGTGACACAATATTTACTAACGTAGAATCAACTTGACTCATTTTTTTAACCAGGAATCTTTTTGAGAACAATAAACAAATCTGGGGACAAAATAGGCTATTAAGCCTATAATATTTTATTTTATCATTTGTAGATGTTAGATAAATATTTTTTTAAGATTGTTTAAAATTAATTATTTAAATATGTTCAACTTAAAGTTTGTAAAATATTAATAATTTTCAGTTTTATAAAATATTTGTTTCATAATTATAATATTTTTAGTTTTAATTCATATTCGTTCTTTTAAATATTTTTTTTTGTTTTTTCTCTTCACTCATTTTCCTAGGAAAAATAGAGTATAGAACAACTCTCATAAATAAAGGTGTTTTAAACTAAAAAAAATAAATTATATAGCATAAATTGTTTAGCATTATATAAAATTAAATTTTAAAAAAACTATTAATATTTAATTATAGGTAAGTTGTTTAATGGAAATATTCAAATAATATTTTTAAATTTGTGGATATGTTTAAATTATTTATCAAATATCTCAATGATAATTTCGATTCATTTTAAATCAAAAAACTAAATTAATTTTTTAAAATATGAAATAAAAAACTGAATATATCTGTAAATATATATAAAAAAATGAATTGTAATTGTTTTAAAAAACTAAAGCACTACGATTCGCGAGTTATCGCATCAAAGCGGAATCCTTTGCTGTGAAGGGGCTTATACCAGAAAATCACAACAGCTCCGAACAGTTGGTCTGTGAGGTGCCTTCATTGCTTCCTTTTTCTGATTGCTTTCCTTTGCCATCAAATTCTTAATTACTATGTCGGGATTCAAGTAATTTCGTAATCAGTATCGTATGTTTCAAGTTTATTTATCCTATTACTGGTAGAGTGAAATCTACAGTGTATTCGTTTTACTGTTGGAACGAAAAATGCATCAAGAAGGGCGTTGATTTACTCTTCAAATATTTTAATTTAACTAGGCTGCGTAAATGTATGCCAATTTAGTTTAGCTACTACATAAGTTAAAGTTATAAAGGTTAATGGGTATGCCCGGTCAGTGTAAACACTTTAAACTTGCTAGCAAATCGGAAATTATCCATGGCATGAATTTTGAGGTTGTTATTATGACAGTGTAAAAGACCTTAATGCATGTATTTGTTTCTTTCAATCACACCAGTTAATTCTTAAATCTTGTATATAAAAAGAGTAAAATACACCACTAACACACATAAAATTGATTCCACTATAAACTTGCTACAGGCAGAAGTGGCTCTGATGACAACGTCATAAGTATGATGAGCATGATGGCTGTTACATGGACAAATTATCTAAGAAAGCGTCTTCCACTAACAATAAGGTCTCTTCATACCTCGAAAGGTAATGAATTATACCAAATTTTAATGTCTCCACCTCTTGCATCTTTGGACCTTCCTGACATCTGGAGTTCTAATTCGGCATCTCGGATTATTCCAGCAATTCATAAAAGCTGTAAGTAACTGAGTCTTATTCCCTTGGAATGACTGTAATATCTACATTTTTTGTCTCTCACGTTTTATCATTTTAGATGTTTTCTTGCTGTTCAAAACTTTAGTTTCTGACTTGATTGAGCAAAATCTGGGCTTTTACTATCATTTGTAGACTCCTCCAGTCAATCATGTTACTTCAAGCTCTCTTCCAATGTAAACTGTCTTGTCATTCTTCTCTTTTTCTAATTATTGACAGATCTAAAGAGTCTATATTTGATTTCTTGGTTTACTAAATTTCATCAGTGTGTAATGACCATTTCTTTAGTGAATGTCAATTACTAGAAGTGATCGTCTTAAGACTTTTGAAGGAAAAGAAACATGGTGGCTAAAAGAATGGATTTGTATGAGTCAAATGCTTAAGAAGGATACAACATTACAATAATCCATTGGATTAATCTGTGAAAAATGCTAGGAACATACTCTTTTGACCACATTCATATTACAATTTATTGAAAACCCAACATTGTACTTAATGAACCTCTCTCATGATGTTGTAGGTCTTAATAAATTTAATAGTGGTAAAGATAGACATTGTGTTACTAAAACTTAAATTTATTTCTCAAAAACACGTGCTAAGTTCTAACAAATTGTCTGGCTCTGTAGCAGTACATTCAAATTCTTTGGCTTCTATACATATAAATAGGAAGAGGAGACTAGTTTTGTACACTAATCTAGGCCTGAATACGAGGGAATAATTTGTAGACTCCTCCAATCAATCATGTTCTTCCTCGATTTGATGGTGGAGTAGATGTCTATCTTTTCCAGATTGGAGCTGACACTTTGATAAGTAATTCTTGGGAGAGTGTATCCCTTTTGTTGAGAGAAAGTAGCATCTGTATACCCCTTTTGTTGAGGTGAGTAACCAACAAAAATATATGTGATGGATTTTGAGCCAAGTGTATTGTGGTGAGGGTTTAGGTTGTAAACAAAGGTTGAACATCCCAATATTTTTTAGAGAATCGAAGTGAAAATTATGTTGGTTGGGAAAAATATTGAGTGTAGAGTGAGGGGTGTTAAAGTTAAGAACATATTAGGTAGGTTGCAAAGAGGAAATCTTCTCTCCAAAACTATTTTGGTACATTTGCAGCCAAAATGAGGGTTGGGTGATCTAGTTACTTTTGGAAAGTGCCTACTTTTTCATTTTGTAGTCCCATTTTGTTAAGGTATTTACAACGAGCTTTGGTGTATATTCCACGTGACTTAAGGTAGGAATTCAATATTGAGTGAGAAAATTCATGGCCATTGTTAGTTTTGAGTACCTTACTATCTTAGAATTGTGTTTGCACCATGTTGTGGAAATTTTAAAATATTCTGCTACTTATTTTTCTTATATAAGGAAAACCCCATGTAACTCTTGTACGGTCATTGATGAAAGTAACAAATCATTTAGTACCGGCAATGTTGTTAGAAAAAGCATGTTAGGCTGTTATTAGTGTATGAGAGAAGGAAGAGATATTAGTTAGTCTAACTGCCTAGGCAGTTAGGGAGAGCGGGAAGAAACTTGTATAAATAGTTTTGGGTCTAATTATAGAGGGACTTTTGGAGAATAAGAGTTTTGTCAAGAACTTGTTGTCCTGAGAGGGGGAGGTTAAGCTCTCTGTATTCGTTTCTTTGATTGAAAGTCAATATGAAGAGGTTATACAGCATTCTGTGTTGTGTGATTTGGGTGTATAGAGCGTGTTTTTCCATAGGTTCTTGATTAAAGAACCTATCAAAGCACGTCCTCATGCATCACTGTGAAATAAAGAGAATGATTGAGAGAGAGCTTATATGGTTTGGGTGGATAAGTGCTTCGTGTTTGCTTAGATAATTGACAAATTTCAAATTGATAGTTCCTTAGATTTTTATTGAATAATGAAAAGAACACTTTCCCAAGTACCTGAAATTTAGGTGGCCTAGACAGCAGTGTCACAACATTACAGAATTTTCAATACTTGAAGGTACTATTGCACAAGAGCTGGCTTCAAGAGTTGAAGGTATTGTTGTACAAGATTTGGCTTTGGGTTTGTTTTGGAGTCTTCAACTAGAAGCTGGTAGAGTCTGACAAATTCTTTAGCACTGATAATATGTCAGTCATTTGCACTACTCATAATCCAGTACAACATGATAGACCAAACACATTGAAATTGGCAGGCACTTCATCATAAATAATCCTGATAGAGGTTTGATAGTCAACTCATGTCCCTACAGGGCTTCATTAGCAAACATCTTCACTAAGGAACATCTGCATAATAGATTCCAAGATCTTGTAGGCAAGTTGGAATGACTCACATTCATTTATCAACTTGAGAGGGAGTGTTGTAAATAGGAGGCTATTGGAATAAAAATATCCTAATATCTCTTTAGTTATTAGGAAGAATATCCCTAGAATCTACTCATTCATTTCAAATGATTTTGGTCAAATTTGTAGTCAATTTGGGATCTCCAACAATTATCATCTACAATCTGAACATTGAAAGGTAGAATAACTATGAAATTCTGTTATGTTTTCAGTCATGAGATATGAGGTTTCTTAGTCTATGATCCATGAACTTGGTTTTCTTTTGCTAGTGTTTAAAGCATGCAAGTAATTATACTTTTGAGCTATTGTTGGTCTACTAACTTTGTCTGCAATTAGCATAGTCTATTGAAGGATTTTTTTTCAAGTTTCCATTTGTTCTTTTTTGAATGTAGATGGATCAGGGTTTACCTTCACATCCTGATGGTTATAGGCTGTATTGCTCTCCTTGTTATGGACAAGTTTTGTCTTTGAAGGTTTCTCATAAATTTGGGTTCCCTTCCTTTTCCTTGAAGGAAGATTTGGAATGACTTCTCTCCAATTGGATGTAATGCTTCCATTCAATTTTTGGTCAGTGATGGTAGCCCTGACTCTTCAATTGAGCTGGTAAGAATATTACCAGTCTCCATCATGTGCCTTCAATGGTTTGATCAATGAGAAGGACTAGAGATGGTTTAAATCGTGCTTTGATAACATGGGGGAAAAGAAAATTCTTTCACAGATCTAAAATTGATAGAATGTGAAAATAGAAATAAGAGACTAATTTTTTACATTAATCTAGGCCTGAATATTTGGAAATAATCTTTTCCATTAATGCCTTGCCTAAAGATGAAAAGAAAGAAATGAAAAATATTTATATTGCATTAAATCCTAACATTAACTATATAAATCAAATTGTTGTAAAAGCTTACAATAAAAGAACAAAGACCACGAATAAAGGATTTCCTGAGGCGTGTAGATCACTGTCTTTAAGGACTTATCCGCGGTGTATTGCGCAAGCTCCCCAAGATACAATAGGAACTTCTCAGAATTTCTGAGGATCTCAGAACTAGCAAGGATCTCTAAAAAGAGAATAAAATAAACCCAAAATATTTTTAGGAAAAGAAGAAAAAAGAAAGTATGAAACCAAGAGAAAGAGAATGAGAGAAGAATGATTTATGATGATGTGTTTTGGAGTGAAGGAAGTACTCTGTTTATAGAGTTCATGGATCATGCCCATGACCTAAAATATCTCAGAAAATTATTTTTTTAATAAAATAGAACGTTACAAGCAAAATATAAATGTTGCACATCAAAAAAGAGACGTTGGCAACAACACCTTGGGAAATATCTCCAAGGCAAATGTTGGAAGCAAGGCTTGCAGTCCAAGCTCAAAACTTCCTCCGCAAATGATGACACATATCTTTGCAATATTATATTAATAAATAATAACAATCCCCCACATATTGCAAAAAATAAGAAACAATGATTGAAAGAAAAAAAAAAGAAAAAATCCTGGGTTTTATAAGATGTAATGCATTAGAGCTGGTATAGCAAGCTATATGAACCAGTCCTAGATCGAGAAACTTAACACACGGTATAGTTGGTATAGCAAGCTATATGAACCAAAGATACTTGAGTGTGTTAGAGGTTTATCAATCACAGTACACCCCCACAATCCTTTCTGTTAACGTTGTGATGCGCTCACTAGGCTATGCGCGTGCCCGATATTTATGAGTGCTCTAGAGATTATGTCAAGATCTCATGCAAGCGGCCCCACTTGACACTCATATAAGTGATTTCATCAAGTCTATGTTGCAAATCATACACCACCCATAAGGGGTATGAAGATCATTAAAACTTTGTTTAATTACAAAGTTTAACCTCTCAATAATGCAGCCTTTAGCACTTTCACACACACCATAGGAATGGACATATTTGATTTAAAATCAAATTAGTGCTATCAGAACTAACAAGTGACTTGTTTTTATCCATATGAACCTTATTCATGGGATCTCCAATCACAAAGGTTGGGTTACCATCACTTGTTTGTTTGCTAGTGGCTTAAGTCTCATTCCCCTCTATTTTTCTTATATCATATTTCTTCCCAAGGGTTTTGTCAGAGGATCTGCTAGATTCCGACTTCACATAGTCAATGGAAATAGTTCCACTCTTTAGCAGCTGCTTCACCAAATTGTGTCTCAATTGGATATGTTTATTCTTTCCATTGTAATTCTTGTTTTTAGCTATAACCGTTGCCGATTGGCAATCACAGTGTATTGACACCGATGGGGTTGGTTTCATTCCTAGTGGAATGTTTGCTAAGAAGTTTTTCAACCACTCAACCTCACTACCAGCCATCTCAAGAGCGACAAACTCAGATTCCATTGTTGATCTTGCAATAATTGTTTGTCTGGCTGATCTCCATGTAATCGCACCACCCCCAAGTGTGAATATATAACCACTAGTGGATTTTGTCTCATCTGAATCAGAAATCCAATTAGCATCACTGTACCCTTCTAGTACAACGGGAAATCCACTGTATTCAATGGTATAATCCATTGAACCTCTTAAGTATCTCATAAGCCTGGAAAGTGCATCCCAATGTTCTTGATTTGGAAATTGAGTGTACCTACTCAGTCTACCTACTGCATAAGCAATATCAAGTCTAGAAAAGCTCATCAAGTGTAGTAAGCTCCCAATTATCTGGGCATACTGAGGCTGAGATAATGATTCTCCTCTATTTTTCATTAATTTAGAGTTAGTATCATAAGGGGTACTCACGGGTTTGAAATCATAATACCTAAACTTCTTAAGAAGTTTCTCAATGTATTGTTCTTGGGATAGTAATATACTATCTTCCTTCCTTATGATTCTAACACCTAAAATTACATTGGCTTCACCCATGTCTTTCATTTCAAATTTTGATTCTAGAAATATTTTATTTTTATTTACAATCTCATTGCATGTACCAAAAATTAACATGTCATCCACATGCAAACATATAATGACACAATCACCATTTTCATATTTAGAGTACACACATTTATCAGCATAATTAAGTGAAAAACCATCACATAGCAATATATTATCTAGTTTTTTATGCCACTATTTTGGTGCTTGTTTTAACCCATACAAAAATTTTAAAAGTTTACAAACTTTATTCTCTTGACCAGGTACAAAACACCCTTGAGGTTGAGTCATATAAATTTTCTCCTCTAAATTACCATTAAAAAAGGCAGTTTTAACATCCATTTGGTGTATCACTAGCTTATGGATGGTTGCTAAGGCTAACAAAACTCGAATAGAGAAAATCCTAGTCACAGGGGCAAAAGTATCAAAATAATCTATGTTGGGTTTTGAGTAAAACCTTTTACTACTAATCTTGCCGTATACTTCTCTATAGATCCATCAGGATAATACTTTTTCTTAAAGATCCACTTACAACCAATGGGTTTTGCTCCTTTAGGCAAATCTACTAAGGTCCAAGTTTTATTTTTCTGAATTGATTCAATTTTAGTTTTTATGTCTTTATCCCATTGTTTTGCATCATGAGTACTAATGGCTTCTACAAAGTTACTTGGATCATTATCAACTAGATAGGTATAGAAATCATTACCAAATGAAGTTTCCTTCCTCTGTCTTTTACTTCTTCTTAATTCCTCACACAAGGCATCACTATTATTATTATCTACACGTTGAGATGTCTCACTAACCTTTAAAGGAAAAACATGTTAAAAAAACTCAGCATTTTTCATCTCCATTATAGAATTACTTTCAAGTATATCACTTTCAAGAACTAGAAACCTATAGGCAACACTATGTTCAGCATAGCCTAAGAACATGCAATCAGAGGTTTTAGAGCCTATTTTCCTTTTCTTAGGATCAAGTAACATCACCTTAGCTAGGTAGCCCCACACTCTTAGATATTTAAGGTTAGGTTGATAACCTCTCCACAACTCATAGGGAGTTTTACCAGTTTTCTTATGAGGTATTCTATTTTGTAAAAAACACGCAGTAAGCAAGGCCTCTCCCCAAAGGTTATCAGGTGCATTAAAACTAATAACATTGCATTCATCATGTCCTTAAGAGTTCTATTCTTTCTCTCAGCTACTCCATTAGACTCAGGTGAATATGGTAGGGTTACTTCATGGATGATACCGTCTTTAACACAATAGTCATTAAATAACACATACTCACCACTTCTATCTGATCTAATCCTCTTAATTTTCTTATTCAATTGATTTTCTACTTCTTCTTTATAAGTTAAAAACAAATCAAAGGTTTCATCTTTATGTTTGATTAAGTAAACTTTGGTGTGGAAAATAAGACTGATTTATTATTCTCAATTATAAAAAATACATTCGGATACTTTCTATTTGTAATAATCTAATTCTCCTAAAAAGGGAAATAGGGAAACTAGGAAAGTAAAATAAAATAAAAGATTATATATCCATTTCCTCTAATTAGGAAGATTCTAAAGATATTATCTCAAATTACAACATTTGGTGTATCTAGAATAATCATCTATAAAGGTCACAAAATAATTTTTACCTCCTCTAGACATGGTTTGTTTAAAATCATCTAGATCAGTATGAATTAACCCTAACAGTTCAATTTGACGTTCTGCAGAAAAACATGTTTTCTTGGTTATTTTAGATTCTACACATATATCACATTTACTACTCTGTTTATCATGCATATTAATTAATCCTAGTTGTTTTAATTTCATAACATAGGAAGAATTCAGATTTCCTAATCTAGCATGCCATATATCATATGAGTCAATAATATAAGCAGAAAGAAGATGATTCATTAATATTTTCAGAAATGTTAAGTACAAAGATACCCTGATCACAATATCCCTTCCCCACAAAAACATTATTTTTTGTCATTACAATCTTGTCAGACTTGAATGACACTTTAACCCCCACTTTTCCTAGTAATGCTACAGAGATTAAATTAACTCTGATTGATGGCACATGTAGCACATCACTCAAGACCAGAGTCTTTCCAGATGTGAGTTTGGGAAGAACTTTCCCTTTTCCCAGAACAAGAGTGGTCCTAGAATCACCTAGGTAGACGTGTTCTTCTCCATCTCCTACACTAGTGTAAGAGGTAAAGGCACTTATGTTTGCACAGATATGTCTGGTAGCACCAGAGTCTACCACCCACTTGCTCACATTGGTCATCAAATTTACTTGAGAAATGACCGCAACAATAATGTCATCTCCTTTGGCTATATTGGCCCTACGAGGATTGTCGTTTCTTACTCTGCGCCTGCACTGTGGTGCATGATGGCCCGGCTTCCCACATACGAAGCAATTTCCTTTCTTCTTAAAGGTGAGGTTAGATGCGTTGGAGTGATATTTTTGAAAATTATTTTTCTTATTGTGATCAGGTTTGTGTTCGTACCTTTTCGGAGCAGGTTTGTGTTCGTACCTTTTTGGAGTAGGTTTGTCTTCTACCATGTTTGCTTTTGCAGACAAAACTTTGGCCCTCGCAGCAGCACACTCTTTTCCTGTTGGTATCTTCAATAATTGTGTGAGTGATCAGTTCTGAAAGTGACATTTGCTTGTGTCTGTGTTTCAGTTGTTACTTGTAATCTGTCCAGGAAGGTGGCAGTTTCTTGATCAGAAGCTCTGAAACAAACTCATCTAGTAGAAGAACGTTCTCCGCTTTGATATCTTCGAGTAGCTTGTGGTACTCATTGATTTGTGACTTTATGTCCTTGTCTTCAACCATTTCCCAGCGATAGTAATTCCCAATAATAAACCTTTGTCTGACTATATCTTCAACAGTGTATTTGAGAATCAATGAATCCCAAATGTTTTTCACTTCCTTATAGGAACAATACACATCGAACAAATCGTTAGAGAGTGCACTAAGTAAAGTATGGCGGCATATCTTGTTTGCATGAACCCAATCTTCAACTTGTTTTGAATTTGGAAGGAGACTAGAGTCCAGTTTTGAAGACGACAGAGCAAAGGCGACTCCGTACATGTCTAAGAGGGTTGACACACGTTCTTGCCAGCGCCGAAAATTCTGACCAGAGAAGACTTCAATTTTTGATACATCCGGGAAAGGTTTCACGAAAACCGTCTGAGTTTCGGAAACAATATTCTGATTCTCCGTGATTGAGTTGTTGTTGTCAACCATAAGTCCTTAAGATTGTTGTAAAAGCTGACAATAAAAGAACAAATATCACGAACAAAGGATTTCCTGAGGCGTGTAGATCACTGTCCTTAAGGACTTATCTGCGGTGTATTGCGCAAGCCCCCTAGGATACAACAGGAACTTCTCAGAATTTCTGAGGATCTCAGAACTAGCAAGGATCTCTAAAAAGAGAATAAAATAAACCCAGAATATTTTTAGGAAAAGAAGAAAAGAGAAAGTATGAAACCAAGAGAAAGAGAATGAGAGAAGAATGATTTCTGATTATGTGTTTTAGAGTGAAGGAAGTGCTCTATTTATAGAATTTATGGATCAGGCCCATGACCTAAAATATCTCTTAGAAAATTATTTTTTTAATAAAATAGAATGTTACAAGCAAAATATAAACGTTGCACATCAAAAAAGAGACGTTGGCAACAACACCTTGGGAAATATCTCCAAGGCAAACGTTGGAAGCAAGGCTTACGGTCCAAGCTCAAAACTTCCTCCGCAAATGATGGCACATATCTTTGCAATATTATAGTAATAAATAATAACAATCCTCCACATATTGCAAAAGCTCAAAACTTCCTCCGCAAATGATGGCATATATCTTTGCAATATTATATTAATAAATAATAACACAAATCACATTTTTTTGTTTGGTTTCCATAGGTCAACTCCCATTTTCTTGTATTATGTATTCTTAAATTTCCATTTCATTCTGCAAGATATTGTATTGAGATTGATGTTTGTCTCAGTTGATGACCAGACTACTGTAGTGCTTGATGGAAAGTTGATATCCATGGAAATCAGATCGAGAATAGCTGCTAAGGTAAGAGAAATGAAGCAATGCCTGGGAAAAGTTCCTGGGTTAGCCGTAATTTTAGTAGGCCAAAGAAGGGATTCTCAAACTTATGTTCGCAACAAGATAATGGCTTGTGAAGAAGTTGGAATCAAGTCTTTGGTGACTGAATTACCCACTGATTGTGCAGAAATGGATGTTCAAAATGTGATCATGAGATATAACAAAGATCCATCCATTCATGGTATTCTTGTGCAACTCCCTCTACCACAAGTAATTTCTTAATCTGTGACCTACAATAAATTAGATGGACTTTAGTATCTGCTGAGTGTTTATTCAAGAAAAGGATATTACAAAATGTTTTAAAGCTATTTTGGAAATGGTCAGCTTATAAAGTATTTCTTGAAGAGGGACCTAAAATTACAATTGTTTTTGGAATGGAGGGATTTAGCTTCTAAATGTACAATTTATCACGTGAACGGTAAGAAAATAAAAAATTAAAAGCATTTTCTAAAATAACATTCATAGAAATCTCTTAGAAATTGGTTTCATTATTGTTAGACTACCAAAAGATGTCTCAAGATGTATTTATTTTGGTAGAGTTTTCTTTGATTATAAATTTCATCATATTTCCTTATTTGATTTGCTTTGAAACTTTCTTATAGTTCAACACATGTTGTGTTCTGATTTGATATGGTTCACCACCAACAAAGGAAACCTACCTTCTATTTTTTTTTTCTCAATCTATTTTTTCCTTTACCATACTTTTTATGGCTTAGCTTGTTTTCTTTTTTAATTACCATAACTAGGATTATATCATTAGATTTTGCTTCATTCTTTTCTGATTTTGGGTTTCTCCTTATATCTATATATTAATACACATCCGGTGTACACTTAAATCAATCACAAATATACATATTCTTTAGTCTTTTTCCAGGTCTCTAGTTTCTACTTTTTTCTTCATAATTGTTTTAGCGGCTTTGGTGTCACATATATTGTATTTTTGCCACAATGGGAATAAAGGCTAATGTGCTCTATTTTGAAAACATTTAAACCCCCAAAAAAATAGACAAGAAAACTGAAGTCCAGGCTAGCAACAAAATTTTTCCATTCACTGTTATCTACCATGCAAAAGGGGTAGCATCGATATAACATTGCTTTTGCTAACCCTACAAGTTTACCACCTCATCAGTCTTGTGACCATGTCATACCTCTAAGTGTCTCTGTGGAAGTTCAACTGTATCAATAACCTCATAGTCAAAAGGAAAAAATTGCAAAATGGTTGCAGACTTGCTATTTGAGGGCATTATTTAGCATGGTACTAGCCCTTTCAACTCACCCATCATTGTGGTCAAGAAAAAAGATCTCACATATATTGTATGTTTTAATCACACCAGTAAACCCTTTATTTATAATCATTCGAAGTATAATATAGGAAAATCAGATAATGACTAATAATGAAGAATATCCCTAATCATGAATTTACATATTTCCATAATTTCTAACATAAAATCATATCTTTTACAGCCGATATAGCGAAGGATAGATTCTCATTCCTACTACAAATGAGTTAATAGTTGAATTATTTGGGGGCACCCATTTCTAACAACTAGACTTGAGTTTTGGTTATCACCAAATTCTGGTTAAACCAAAACATAGATAAAACTATCTTTTGTACACACTAGGGGTTTACAAGTTGTTGGTCATGTCCTTTGGGCTCTGTAAAGCATAAATTACATTTTAGTGTCTCATGAGTCATGTACTCAAGAAGCAGCTACGTAAATCAAAGCTTGTCTTCTTTGATGATATACTAGTTTACAGCCATCACGATCCAATCATCTAAATTGGGAGGAAGTTTTACAACTTCTTAACAACATTGTCTTTTTGCATAGCGGTCTAAATATAGTTTTGGTCTTTTTAAGGGTGGGCTACTTGGGTCATAGTTTCAGTGTGGAATTGAACCAATCCAAGGTTAAGGTTGTTTTAGATTGGTCAAAACCTACTTCTATCAAACAAGTACATAGTTTTCTCAGTCTCACTAGTTGTTGAATTCTCTGTATGCAGAGGCGATGTACTATTTCAAATGAATCAATTTGAATAAAAGTCTTCTTTCTTTCATATTAATTTTTTCAAGTTGGCATTAGAGCTTCCGATCTTGGGAGTCCTACTTCCACATTTCTTCTTTACTGTCTTAGTTATGGTTCCTTTTAGGGTTTCCTGGAGTGCACCCATTTCCTTTAAATGTTGGACTTGCCTGAAGTGCATCCAACTTGTGGTTATATCACCGTTCTTGCACTCGTTTGCCGCCCACCGGAGGTGCTTCCAAACCCTTGTTGGTGCTTATGCTAGGCCCTCGCCAGAGTTGCTGTCGAATCCTCGCTAGAGCTGGTGCTAGACTTTTTCCAGAGCCATCCTCGGACCTTGTTGTTGACGCCCCTGTTGCCACCTCCAGAGCTTTTTGTCTTATTGTTATCTTTTAATTAAGAGGGGGCTAAGGATTTTCAATTCCTTTTGCACATTCTTTACCAAGAAACCATGGGGGAATCGAAGGATTCACAATTAAATGACGTAGACTGTGAGATTTGACTAGTTGTACTTGTTTCTTCCTCAGTAGGAAATTGGAATCTGAGTTTTTGCGATAGAACGAGGAAAGGTTTGGGGAGTGGAAGAGGTCGGTATCAAACTGATCATACCTATAGATGGATGTCACTAGGCTCTGGATATCATGTTAGAAAACCTTTAGAAACTATTTAAAAAAGTGGGAAATAGAGAAAGAAGTTGAACCTTTAATTTTCTGAATGAAAGAGTCAGTCAAGAATTTATACAATGGATGGGTAGTTTCAAACTGCTTCTGATAGCTAACATACTTGTAACTGATAGTTGTTACTATTGAATATATTGAAAAACTAGGTGTAGGATTAATCTCCCTTGTGTAGAAAATATACATAGGATAATATATTTATAATAAAGAAAACGTGGACTCCTCCCCCACAAGATTGACAGTGTTATGCATTCCATGTTTGTCATCCTCGATTTGCTCCTCTCTCACAACCATCTACTGTGGATCCTCCTCCATCTGATAGCACTAACAAATATGCTCTCTTCAATGAATTTTCTTAATTAGCATAGGGACATGAGTGGCAATAAATATGTAAAAAAAAAAAAAATTAGCATAGGGACCTGTTTCCCTAATTAACATAGGGATATGTTTTCTTAATTAACATAAAGGCGACATATCTAACAAGAATAACAAACTACCAAGCAGATGAATTTGAGATCTGCATCTGTTCAATACAATACAACTCTAATAGAAACTGATCTATAGTTGAAGAATAAAAAGGAACAAGAGAGAGAGAGCCTAACAGACAATATGCTGAACACATCATATAGATAGGAGGAATCCAGTGTAAAGGTGGAGGTTATTGTGATATGCTGTAAAATCCCTTTTCTCCGAGGATCTTTTTCTTTCTTTTCTGGAGATAATGGTATATGTACCCTTGTTCAACCTTGAATTCCAACATCTTGATAAATCCAAGTATTTGGCATTTGAGGATTGAATAGAATTTCATTCCATTTCTGTGGCATTACAGTTTCACTCTGTTGTTCCTTACATTGATGTCTTTGAACTGCTGACCAGCTCGTTAAGCGGAGTAATGGATTTTGATCTTCATTTTGATGATCATTTATCATATTTTAGATGGTATGCTCTGTTTTGAATATTCATTACCTTTACATCAATTTCCGCTCACAACACCCCACCCAATGGCTACTCGCTGGAACATGCCCAGAAGTCTTTCCTTAACTAGGAAACATCCCTCTAACAAGAAAATCACGTGTATCACAAGAACCAACCAAAACATCCTCATGTTGTGCATCTTTGGAGACAAAATTTGATGCTATCTTGAAGAAAAGTACTATCATGGGCATTAAATTGGTATTATAATTTTATCACTTGATGTTTTGATAAAATAAACTTTGGCAATCTAAATTTGGTAGTTTGGAGTAGTCTGCTGGTGAAATATTCTGTTTTCCGATTAACTAGTTTTCATGCCAGCTGTACATTCAATTGTGGATTATCACACATTCTAATTAGCTGATTTGACTGGTTGCAAAACATTTGGGGACAGCATCTAGATGAGGAAAAGGTTCTGGATGCTTTATGTCTTGAGAAAGACGTCGATGGTTTTCATCCCGTTAATATGGGGAATCTTGCCATAAATGGAAGGGAGCCACTGTTTACTCCTTGTACTCCAAAGGGCTGCATTGAGTTATTGATCAGATCAGGAGTCGATATAATGGGGAAGAAAGCCGTAGTGATCGGAAGAAGTAATATTGTTGGTTTGCCAACGTCCTTGTTATTGCAGGTAATATAATCAATTGTTAGAGGCCTACAATCACGGTTATCTACATTTTCGTTTCCTTCTCCATGAATATGTAATATCGTTGTATATTGGCAGAGACACCATGCAACAGTCACTGTTATACATCCCTTCACAGAAAACCCTGAACAGATCACCTCAAAAGCTGATATTATAGTTTCAGCTGCTGGAGTGCCTAATTTGGTCCGTGGTAACTGGATTAAGCCTGGTGCAACTGTGATTGATGTTGGTACTACTCCTGTTGAGGTAAGTTGCAAATTACGACTTCAGACAATTTCATAATCTACTTTCTCTAAATATAAGAAAAAAATGTTGCAGGATTCTGGCTGTGACGATGGTTATCGTCTCGTAGGCGACGTATGCCATGAAGAAGCCATAAAAGTGGCTTCTGCTATTACTCCTGTGCCTGGCGGGGTTGGGCCTATGACAGTTGCAATGCTACTATGTAACACTCTAGTTTCTGCAAAGCGCATACTGAATTTTAATTGACCCTGCCTTTTTTCGAAGTGCTATACTTCTTTCAAGGTCATTTTCAGCATGGATCGAGTTTAAAAACAGGAAATTCGTTTTACAATTTTGTAATGCATATTATTTAGGTGATTGTCTAGATTCTGTTATTGAAAATGTATCAATTGAAATATGTAATCACACATTGCTAATTTCATTCGAAGAACTTTAAATTAAAGAAAATCCTCGATTCGTATGAATTTTTTTTTATAAATGAACTTTTGAAGAATTTTGAAGGCTGTCATTGACGTATGCACGATAAAACATCTAAATGTTCCTGTTGGCAAGTTAAGTTCAGCCGGTGGTGCTGAGTTCGGCATAACCTATCTTTACAAATTGTTTTTCCTATATTACGCTAACTGCTAAGCATGGAAATAATTATCTTTGGCGCCTCTTTTTGTAGCATTTTGGAACTCAATGCCATACCAGGGCTAAATTCCTGCAAAATAAACTCGCCAAATCGGGTGGCAAAAATGTAATTAACAGTTTGAACTTGAAACCATAACCAGTTGATTCTAACCTATCACCACTTAGGGTTCCATGGTGATGATGTTACTGGAATAAATGTAAAATATACATTACTTCACAGAAGGGTTACTTGTGCCCATTTAGCACAATCACAGCGTGCTACAGGTTACAAACCTTCAACCACACAGAATAACTAAATGCATATGACAATTTTATACAGAAGATAAATTTTTCTCAGTTCCTTTCCGCTTCCCTTCACAAATAAATAGGGTGTATATCAATCTTGACATGAGTAATTGGAACATCTTCTTAAGATTAAAATTAATAGAAAACGAATCAGCTATCCTGCCTCAACTTCTCCTGCATTCTTGCTTGAGTCGGACTGCACTGGCTCTGTCACAGGAGGTATACAATCTATCTTGTACCGTATAACCTACAGTTCATACAACATAACGCACATCAGAAAACCGTACAACTTTCAGAACATGCCCAACATATAGGAAGAAATAAGTGAAAGAATCCCAACACCCTAATTAAAAAGATGTACGAAGCCAATATGTTGCAACAAACGAAATAAATCAGTCTATTAAGAACAATGACCAGATCATGTGTGATAGTGATAACTAAAGGTGAACCATATCACAATAAAAATGAACAGATCACACGAGAGCGATGACTGAGAGTGATGAATCGATCCCTCGCAGCAGACGCTCTGGAGAAGGTTATCTAATCAGATTTTGTTATTGACATTTGATCAGTGTGTGAGGACAACTAGCATTTGTGTTGAGAAACCAGTCCAATCCGTACTAGCACAGTTTGCATCTCATTGAATCAGTCAACATGCCCGTATACCTTACCTTTTTAAAAAAGGTTGAATACGTGTTGTCCCAAATTAGTTTATAGCTTCCAGCCATTAACGTGCAGAAGTTTCCCTAACATTATAGGCACAAAAACTAAGTAATACACATATCAAATGCCGAGTTAATTGTACAAACTGCAACAATGTGACAAACTCACTTGGTCAGACTCATATCGGCGGGACGGTAACATCAGCTGGTCATGTGTGATAATGAAACAGTCATCATAAAAAGAGAAATGGAAATACAGAAATCATGAAAGAGAAAAAGAAAACAAGAAAACAGAAAAAAGGTTAAAATGAGCTGGGTGAGGGCCTACAAATTTGAAGGCGAAAATGGGTGATGATGAAAAACAATACGGGAAATGTTTCTGAAGAAAACCTATAGAGAATATGTACACAAAATAAAAGTGAACACCGTCCAAACTTACTGTTTTTTCCCCAGTAGGACTTACAAACTCCAAACTAAATCCAATATCCTGACAAATAAACAATAGAAAGATCATTACATAGGGTGTCTGGAAAATATCATAACATTTTGAAATCAAGGTATAGCAGCACAACAGCGATACCATATTTATTTTGCCTTGTACCAATGAAAAGTCCCATGCAATGTATGAGTTTACAACATCAACAGAGAGCAAAACCTGAAGTAGAAAATAAAAATATCATGAAAAAATAAAAATGCAAACATTTTCTTAAGTAATAATAACAAATAAAAACCAAGTCACAAATTCATTCAGTAAGGAATTTCAAATTAGATAAAAGCAAATCTAAATCATACACAAAATTACAAAATGTGCATGCTCTGTGCAAGGAAACAATTTATAAATTAACTAAAATGCATTCCTTCCCAAACATGCTAGTAGCTCCACTAATACACCACGAGAATGTTATGTACAAAAGGCCAATGTTTGGAACAGTTTTCTTGAGGAAATGATCTTTTAGAAGTAAAAAATCTTCCAGAAAAATTATATTGATGAGATTGTGCATGATAGCTGTAACTAGTTAGTGTTAGTATACACACTATAGTTAACTTGTATAGTTTACAAATGTATTGTACGGCTTTTATTTTCCTTGTACAGGTTTCCTTGTAAACTGTTTTTACCTTTTGTAAAGCTGTCAGTTCTTACAGCAAGTAGTTAACTATCTCTATAAATACATCTTGTACCCGATTCCAAGTGTGATACAATAATAAAAATATTCAGTTCATGCTCAATTCTCTCTTTCTCTCTGTTCAGTTCATCTACGATGCTATCTAGAGCTTTTTCTTCAACGATCCAGTTTCCTCAAGTTCTTGACTAGTTTCTTCACTGTCCAGATTGCAACTACTTCCACTTCATCTTCTTGTTCAAGATTGTTTTACTTCATCAATTTACATTTTTGTTAAGTGATTTGTTCTCAAGTCAACTCAAAATCGATTCAGCTTTGTCAATTTCAGGTTTCAATCAATAAATTGTCCTAGGTCATGTTCGTGATTGTTTTGTTTGGTGAATTGTTTGAATTTCAGCTCGAAATTGATTCAGCTTAGTCAATTCGAGATTTCAATCAGCGAATTGTTCCAGATCTTGTGTTGATTATTCGTTCTTCAAATTGCATGCTGCTAGATTTCAAAGTTCTAAAATGGAGTTGGAGTTCTTCAAATTGATGAACTTGCTGGAGTTGGAATTCCTATCATCCATGAAGAACATGTTGATGCTATAGTAGAAGGACTTCCATCGAATAACAATAATCAACCTAGTGAATTGTTCCAGATCTAGTTCATGATGTTTCTATTAGTGAATTGCAAGTTCCAGATCTTGTGTTGATTATTCGTTCTTCAAATTGCTTGCTGCTAGATTTCAAAGTTCTAAAATGGAGTTGGAGTTCTTCAAATTGATGAACTTGCTGGAGTTGGATTTCCTATCATCCATGAAGAACATGTTGATGCTATAGTAGAAGGACTTCCATCGAATAACAATAATCAACCTAGTGCTATGTTGATGACGTCTGATACTCAAGGTAATGCCAACTCTTCACGATACCAGATTTTGGTAATTATGTACAGGACGTAAGGCTTCTAAGAGAAGCTAAATAACAGCCAATTGAGTGTAGTCTGACCTAACCGTAACTAACAGAATGCTTCTAGCGAAAACATCAGCCTCACTAACATTTGCTAAGTTTTAAATAGGCCAATAAATGTCCGGGATACGTATTAGCCTAAAAACATTAAAAGCCCGAGTCTAATTTAAAATGAAAAAGGCTAAGAGGTACAATGCATCATCTAGCTCTTATTTTGATCCCAAGCCCTCTCCCCATTTCCCCTCTATTTGCAAAAGGTATTGTACCTCCTGTCTTCTCTTACCATGTATTGGCTGTACCATCTCTGATCTGTTTCTGCAGGCTTGTGATAATTTCTGCCATGGTTCTCGACCTCCTATGTTAAAATCTTTTCATTTTGTGTGTACTTTACCATTCACAGCACAATGTTTTTATTTTTTTCATTTAGTATTATAGTTCATGTGCATATAAACTATGTCAATATAGCTCTTTTAATTAATGGTATAAACACCTCCACTTTTGGATATTTTAGAGAAGTATGTGTTTATTTTATATTTAATGGCTGTACCACCTCTAATCTGTTTTTGCGGACTTGTGATTTCCTCTGTTATGCTTCAAGACCTCATATGTTAAAATCTTCTATTTTTTGTGTACTTTGCAGTTCACAAAGCAATGTTATTGATTTGTACATTTAGTCTTATGGAAATGTGTATCTAGACCATGTCATTATCTCCTTTTACTATTATGGATGAAAACACCTTCAATTTTGAATTTTTCTTTTAGCAGTTGTATGTGTGCAGTATATTACATTTGTATGCATAAACATGTCATAAAAACAAAGAGGAAAGACAAGTCTTGTACATATACCTCATAAGTTTTCCCAGCTGGAATATTGATCTCTTTGTAGTCATCATTTTTTCTGCAATGGACAAACTAGAAAATTGACATGAAAATAGATAAAATAATACAATAAAGCAAGATTTGATCTTTACCCTGCTTCCAATGCACCAACAACATCTGCTGAAATGAAGAATGGCGCATTTGCAAAGACCTCGCTGATAAAAAAAGACTATAGCAGGTTAGTCAACAAGAATTAGAAATCTAGCAAGGTGAGAACAAATACAGATTTAACGTTGAAAATTCTAAACAAACAGTTCAACCTTTAAGCTTAGGTTAGGGGGAGCCAGTTGCAGAGAAAAATATAGACAAATGCGACATTTGAACACATATGGCTTATACCTCAAAGAGTTGAAAACAATAGGATTGATGTGATGCATCTTTAGGCAGCTTATTTAAGTAACAGATCTGAATCATTAGTGTTGTCACTATTTATGTTCCTCTCATGGCTTTCCGCCAACTTACATCCTTACAGTGAATAATGTATTCAGTGATGTTGGATTAATATATGATTCTGTAGATGGTATGTATATGATAGAAACTTCTAATCCAAGACATGGTTATTCAAAAGTCATTGAATAATGTAAGCCCGTGTATGAAATTTCAAATCAAACATTATTAGAACATATAACCAGCTGTATTTGGAAAGCCCGTCTCAAAATATCAATGTATAAACATTGATAAACTGCAGAAAATTTCCTTGATACGTGTGGAAACCATTGTTGAGTAATAAAAGATAATGGGCAAGCAGACAACAGTTTACCATGATTATTAACAATAAATACAAAAAGTTAAATCATGAGAAATATCAAAGACAAGCATGTACCCGATAAATGTCAAAAACCTTTTCAACTCTGTGGTGTAGACATCAATAG